TATAATTCTTCCTAGAAATCAATCAGTGCCATGAAATTCAGAACAGGATTGGAATTCTGAATGCAAGGGGGTAGATGTGTCCAGTATCAAATATCAAAACCAGGGCCTACCCTGGTTTTGGAAAACCCTCACCCATTTCTGTGTGTCAGGATTCAATGCTCTCTTTGTTCGAATCAGAACAGCACCATGCCTTGCCTAGACCCTACCCAGGGCTCGTGTGCAGCCTTCTGATCTATGTTTCCTTAGTCCCACTGACTTCACTGTTACCTGCCTTCAGGCCAACTCCTTATTATTAGATTTGGAGAGGGCAGGAAAGGGGCTGTAAATCAATTTGTGTTATGTACATGTTCTAACTATGCATAATCAATGCAATGAGTATGTTCTGCAAATACATTATGCTTCTTACCCTATGTACACTATCATGCTTCTTACCCTATGTACACATCTACAGTCGTGTGAAGTTACCAACTCCATTAATTACATACCGGTAAGAATAAGAAAAACAGATAAGTTTACACATAAGAATAAATTAGATGTTCTATAGTATTAGGGCTATTCCAAATCACCTCTCAGAGTAGTCATGGGCTTAGGACTCTTCCCTCTCTGAGTCTTCCCCCATAGAACTTGCCATATATACATTAGTCTATGCAAATAGGGCCTCTCTGTGCTGACGAAAACCATCCCAGCTCTGACCCTGCGGTTTTGCAGAGGAGCACAGCCCTGGATGCCCAGCTGTTTCCACTTGGAGATCAGGACTGAGCACAGAGGCTCACCATGCAGTCTTCAATCAGCTGGATTTTGTTTCTTGCAATTTTAAAAGGTAATTCATGACAGGTAAGAGATACTGAATGTTTGAGTGGCACAACTGGGATAAATAATGGATATGTGAGGCAGTTTCTTGAGCAGTATGCCTTTGTGTTTGCAGGAGTCCGGTTCGAGGAGCAGTTGGTGGAGTCCAAGGGAGGCTTGGTGCAACCTGGGGGATTCCTGAGACTCTCCTGTGTGGCTTCAGGATTCACATTCAGTGGCCATCACAAAGACTGTATCTGCAAGACTCCAGGAAAGGGGTTGGAGTGGATCAGCAATGCTGATAGTAGCACATACTACCAGACTCCATGAAGGGCCTATTCACATATCCAGGGACAATGGCAAGAATACGCTGTATCTGCAGATAAGCAGCCCGAGACGCTAGAAAGGCCATGTATTGCTGTGCAAGAGACACAATGAGAGGAACCTCAGTGTGAGCCCAGGCAAAAACCTCCATGCAGAAGCGCTTAGGACCAGCATGGGGCGCTCAGAATAAACACAGAACACAGAGTCCACCCCAAGAGCAAAGGTATTGAAGTATTCTGTTGTTTCAGGTGGGCTTCAGGACATTTAAAATGATAATAATGGGACTGGAGATTTAGCTAAGTGGCGTGTCTGCCTGGTAAGCACCCTGTTGTGAGTTCGATCCCCAGTACATACAAAAAAAGTTAGTATCACAGTTAATAGAAAGAGCAAAGAAACAAAGAATTGAAATCCAAAGTATATAAAATACCAATATAAATAATCAATTCTTATACAACTTAAAAGTCTCCCTAAATATGTAATCCAATAAGATACTGTAATACAATTGGAAAGACTATCATTGTGAAAAATTTGGGTAGTTTTACTGTTATCTCCAATTCAGGAAACATCCAATGCACCCTCCTTTTCCAAAGAGACTAAAACCCTAATTTTGTGTACTATTTGTTGCAACATTCAGACCTGACACAACATTTATTTCAGATCCTTTGGACTAATGCTAAAGACTGTGATAAACCAAAGTATTCAATTATGGTGTTCAAATATATGATAGTTTAAAGCCAACCACTCACACATTAGAAAAGCTGTTAAACTTTTTCACCATGTCATATTTGCCAAATCTGCATTAAGATAATGTGGCATAAAATTCAAACCATTGACTCATTTGTCTCTCATTTGTCTCTCCTACCTGTGTTCATATACTACTGTGTGACTGAGTGACATGAGTGAACTTTTATTTAGAGCGATCAGCTGATATTATTCTAAATTCCCAGTAAAGAAGACAAGGCTTTTTCTGTTCTTTACACTTACAGCAATATATTAAAAAAAAAAAAAAAACAGCTAGTTTGGAGTTTTGTTTCTTTACAATGACCACAGAAACTCATTAAATGAAATAAAGTGTTTCTTTTGTTTTTTTCTTTAATATCACTTGAAAGTATAAAATTCTATATTTCTGTGAAGTCAAAGTGTGGCCTCGGTGCCTGTTTAGACTCTAAAGTGTAAACTGGGTTCTTACTCCACAGATAGAAAAGAAATAAAATACTTAAAGTGCAGATCCTTAGGGCACTTCCTTACCATGTCTTGTTCTTAAAGTCATGCTGCTGGTTTTAGAATTTGTCCTTGAACACAGCCCATGGTTTCCCATCTATAGCAACTTAGAATTAGAAATAGGGGATAAAGTTGTGACAAATCTGAGGAGAACTCAAGGAAAAGGGAAAAGATGTCTGCAGCCAGCTTAGTGACATGGGAGCTATTGCAGCCTCCCTGACCAATATGAGTCAGGATGAGGGAGGAATAGTTGACCATCTCTTTGTGGAGCCTTCTCAGCCTCATGTTTAAACATGTGTAGTGATAGCCTACTCCCCACCATCTCTATGCCCAATTTCTTTTTTTTTAATTTAAATAGAGAAGAAAAAAAATGAAAGGGCATAAAAAAACAATGCAGTAAAAGGGTACAAATAATACAGTATTTCTAGAAAAAAATATATACAGTACGAAATCACCAGTTAACAGGCTACACATTATCTTCCCAGAAACACTTGTCCATATCACTAAATTAAAGCATATAAAATGAACATTCATACAGTGGAATTGGAGACAGTTCCATTCAATGATCAAACAAAAGCTCAGTTATATGGTTTTCCATCCTACACTCTCGAACATACCTGCAGTTATATCCCTTAGTCCACCTTACTTTTCTCTCTTTTTTTACAGTAACAATTATACTTTTAGGGTTTTATTACTCTCGCAGTTCTTATTACTTTTTTGAAGAGAATAAACACAAACATGGCTAAGAGTCAGTTAGAACAGAAGGGTGGGCATAGCACGTGATGCAAAAATAGAATACCAGGTGATCAAAAGTGGTTACCATTGTGCCTCTTGCTATTTTCAAATTGAGTTGTCTATATCATCAGGTATAATAGAATGCATCAAAACAATACAGAACAAAACCAATAAAATCTACACTGAGGACCTTACAGGACTTAAAAAAAAAAAAAAGGATGATAGTCAATCCACATTGTCTATGACCATTTTCTGCAGCTAGGATGGTGCTCTCTGAATTCCTAAAGGAATCAACATTCCAAAGAAAATATCAACTTACCCGGTGCAAACTCAAAATGGGTCAGAAGGGAGGTAATCATTTGTCAAGTGATGTTCTTCATATTATCAGGAACACCATTCCGGGTGAGGTATTTGAAGGCTTGATTTTACAGTCTATGCCATTACCATGGGCACTAACTGATTTATAGAAGAAATCCATGGATCTTAGAAACCTCCCAAGGTCTTGAAATTTTTTTTCTGTTTGAGATAGGGTTTCACTGTGCAGTTTAGGTTGGCCTTGAACTTACTTTTAGCACAGGATGGTCTCGAACTTGCAAGGATCTTCTTTCCACAGTCTCCTAATGCTTGGATTAGACTTGTGCACTGCCACATGTAGCTTATTACAATTTTTAACAGTTGTTCATTTCACTTTGCTTATGTTGTTCATTCCACCTTCATGTACCATTTTTACTGATGGCTCTGGCCACACTAAAAGGTTTCATAGTAACACAATCACTTTGCCAAGGAGGCAATGATTTTCTTACACCAAAGGCATACTTAGGTACTAACATCTCAGTTTTATCAACATGTGATGGTTGAGGAGCTCAATTTAAAACAATTGTTGTGCATTGTAAATTATTAAACTACTGTCTTGAACATTTGTCTGAACTATGCTTGTATTAATCTAAGAGCATTGATTCAAGCTTACTTAAATGTCTGCTACTTAGGTATTACTTAGATGTCTTACTTAGATATTGGCAAGCAGTCAAATAAAAAATGTACTAACCAACTGGGCTTAGCCATGTTTTTCAGAAAAAGTTTATAGTAAGTGTGATGGAGAAAAATATACAAAGAAGGATTTAAGTACAAGACAAAGACTTTTAAGATAAGAGGATTTTCTATGATTAAAAATGTGCACGCTTCAGGTCTAGAAATTTGTTTCATTATAAAAATGTGAGCTTTCAGGGTCATGGATGCAGGAGGAAGGGCAGAATATCTGCATGCCCTGAGGAGTTCCAGAATTTCCAGATAGCAGTAGAGACTACTGATTTTACAAACTCAAGAATTGGCTAAGGTGGTGATTCATGGACTCCCTTAGACTTCCACAGATCAGGATACCATGCAGATCTACAAAACAAGGCCCTGATATTGTCCTTGAAGATCACATACAAGAATGAAACAGTAATTTTTCAAAAGGCAGTCGTGCAGAGAAGCACAGTGTTTCACCAAGAAGAAAATTTATTTTTTGAATCACTTTTCTCCATCTCCAATAAGAACCCTACAGACACACAGTGCTCTGCCCTTGTACAAACCCCCAATGGAAAGGGCAACATTAGTGAATTCAGTTAGCAGGTCAGAAAATGTCCAGGACATAAATATTCTAATGATAAAGATCCTCACATAAACTGCTCACAATCAGCAAATTCTTCCCAGTGTTTAATTTCACTTTGTGTGTAAATGTGAAGGCTACAGAAGACGTGCTGTTGGATTTCAATGTCAGGAGTCATCTCGGACCATCCTGTGAAAATCTCTCTCCCCGGGAAGCACTAAAAGACCCTGCCCTGGGTGCCACTCACAGGGCCTCCCTCATGCAAAGCAGCAGCAGGCTAAGTATGAAAAGCCAGTTCTGGCTGAGAAGCCCCAGTCTCCTCCCACAGGAGCCTTCACTGATCATGGAGTTCTTGGTTCTGCTCTTATGCCTGGTGGTGACTCCCTGCAGTGAGCATCTCTCACGTTCAGGAGAGGGACCTTGGCACAGGGAGCTGGGTGGGCTTGACTGAAAGTTATGCTCCTTGTCCTCAGGTGCCCTGTCCCAGGAGCAGCTGCAGGAGTCAGGACCTGGCCTGTTGAAGCCTTCAGAGACCCTGTCCCTCACCTGCACAGTCTCTGGATTCTCTGTAACCAGCTATGATGTCAGTTGGGTCCCTCAACCTCCCGCGAAGGTGCTGGAGTGGATTGGTGCTCTATGGGCAAATGGAGGCACAAGTTATAACTCAGCCCTTCAATCTCGAGTGGGAATCAGTAGGAACACTTCCAAGAGCCAACTCTCACTCACACCGCGTAGCCTGATCCCCAAGGACACGGCCATGAATTACTGTGCAGGAGACTCAGTGAGGGGACATCAGTGGGAGCTGACAAATTCCTCCCTTCGTGAGCACTAAGGACAGCAGGTGTCGCACAAGACACACTGAGCTCTTTTGAGGCTCCTGACCAGTTGCAAGTTCCTGGGGCTGCTTTGATGTTAGAGTCTGTGGTTTTCCCTTCCTTTCCTGGCTTTGCTAAAGACACTCTACAGTGATAGCTTCTAAATTTTTTAATTTTATTTCTTTTTGTTAGTACATATATGCAGTGCAGGCAGTTTACAATCATTTTGTGAAGTGTGTACAAGTGTGTAACACAGCTTGATTCTCTTCTAAATCCCCTTCCTCTTCTTTTCTGCCTCTCTCCCCTCTGAATCTCCTTTTCCCCATTTTATTGATGTGATGATATTGGTGTTGTCTAACATGTGTGATGCATAAGGCTTACACTCATTTAGGTTATTAGACTGAAGGGAAGTTATATTTGTGTTCTACATCAGTCCTTTCTCTTCTCGTTTTCTCATATAGGTTGTGTCAGACTTCTCCCCATTTGCAAAAGATATGCTCATGTGTCTTCTTCTAGCCTTTCTTTTCCATGCTCTGTTTGCACTTTTTCTTACTCAAATAAAAAGTCCTATATTGTATTTAAGGTTCTGAGTCTGATTTAGTTCTCTCAACATTGTATTTTCAAGTTGCACACATTTTCCTATGAATATCTTAAATTTGTCCTCCTTTGTAAGTGAGTAGAATTCCATTAAGTATAGATAGCATATTTACCATCTGTTTCTGGATACACAGCATTGCAAGCCAGGAGCAAACCTTCCTTCAGAGGCATCCATGACCAGCAGAGGTAGAGGAGGATCCACAGAGCACAGGACAGGTCCCAAGAGCAGGTGCAGAGAAGGAAGCTGGGCAGCAAGTGCTTCCTGTCAGCCTCTGTGCTCCCTCTGTGTCCTAAACCACATTTCCTGAGGGACCCTACAGCACATAAGCTGTGAATGACTGATGAAGTAAACAAGTTACAAGTATACAGTAAACGAGATTGATAAAAATTAATAAAAATAAAAAATAGAAAAATGAAGGTAGAAAAAATGGAACAGAGGAAGATAATGACAGGGGAATTGAGAAACTCATTAGCAGGCTCCTCAAGAAGGCGGGTGCTCTTTCCTTTCAGAAAAGAGCAAAATATATTACAGTCACTCACCGTCTCACCACAGGGAGAGGGGTCTGAACACTGCAACAGGTGAGTCCAGGACGTGGATTTGGAATCAGTCTGCTCACAGATCAGGAGAGCAGGGCCCACGACAATGGGGTGACATTCACATGGCATCATATCCTATGTGGAGAAAACAGCTGCTCACAGCACTCAACATTTCACATGTTTACAAAGCAAGCATCATTAATATAGAAAGCATGACCCGTGTATATGGATAAAAATCAAAGTTGATGAACAGTTGAGAATACAACTGAACACTATTATTCGAATTACCATTTTTTTTGTATTAGGAATCCAGCTCTCAACCTACCACCAGACATCATGCAGGCAAAGTGTCACTGAGCTATATCCCCAGCCCTTTGAATTATCATGTTCTCTTGAAATCATCTTTGCTCCCAAACTCATCCAGTGCAGTCACATCTGGTGTGGACACTGGCTTCTCTGAATGTCCTACCACAGCACATTTTATATAGTAGGAGTCCATGAAAATAGGGTCTCTTTGTGCCGATGAAAAGCAACCCAGCCCTGACCCCACAGCTCTGCATTGGAGCCCAGCCCTGGATGCCCAGTTGTTTCTCACTTGGTGATTAGGACACAACACAGATGTTCACTATTGATTTGGGTTTTCCAGGTTGCACTTATGAGAGGTAAATTATTGATAAAAAAGTATACGGGATGGGGAAGTGGACTTGAATGGAATAAACAGTGGACATATGTGACAGTTTCCTGAGCAGAATGCCCCTTTGTTTGTGGGTGTCCAGGCTGAAGTGCAGCTGGTTGAGGCCTTTGGACGCCTGATTCAGCCTGGGGCCTCCTTGAAACTCTCATGAAGAACTTTAGGATTCACCTTCAGTGACTACTGGAGGAGCAGGATCTGTCAAGCCTCAGGAAAGCAGCTGGAGTGCATCTCTGAAATAAAATCTGAAAGCAGTGAAATACGTTATGCTGACTGTGAGGATCCCATTGACCATATTCTGACAGAATGACAAGAGCACACTGTATCTACAAATGAACAGCATGACACCTAAAGACATGGCCCTGTATTACCATGCCAGACTCACAGAGAGGGGACATCAGTGCGAGCTCAGACACAAACGTCCCTGCTCTGATCCACAGAAAAACACTCAGGTGCAGGAAAGGAAGCTGGCAATCGAGTGCTTCCTGGTAGCCTCTAGGGTTTCCTCTCTGCTTTAAAATCCTGTGATCCGAGGAGACCCCAAAATTCAGAGGCTTCAGATGGCATATAATGTGTCCAAGTCCAAGTAAACATTTTCTGTTAAGTCTAATGGCATAAGTGTATATTTATGTTTCAGCTTTCTTCATCTCCTTTGTATATCACTCGATGGGAAAACAAGACTTGTATCTATCTTGAAAAAACTTATGAATTTGTCAGAATTATGTTTCTTTTTAATGTTAAATCATCATCATCTAAAAATTCATCTAATTTTTCCCAATGACAAGGAGTAGTCTCATGTAGAAATAAATGCTCTGCATTAAGAAATTAAATCCTTCCCATCTCTGTGTAGAGGGTCTGAGAACATACAGCCCTCTCCCCTGCTTGGCCATCACAGGAAGTCTGATCACCAAGATCAGCCCCAGCACTCTGTGAAAGGAAGAGGGACAGCCTGACTGGACTCTGGGCAGTATCCCCAGGTTTCTGTTTTCCCATTCTGTCAAAGGACAGTGAATTGACCTTGGACCATGTTTGTTTTGGATCTTAGAAATTATGGAATCATAAAATATAGCCTAATTCAGTGTAATATCTGTCTGTGTCTCTGTCTCTGTCTGACTCTATCTCTATCTCTCTGTCCATTTCTGTCTCTCTCTGTCTCTGTTTCTCTCTTATCTTTTCTGATTTCAAAGTATGAAATAATTAGAATACGTAAAATCAAAAAATGTAGTTTCATAATACTCACTAATTTTTTTCCTAAATAGGTTTTCATATTTCTTCCTTTACACTTCTTCTTTGCTTTATCTCAGCATTTTACTTCAGTTAGTTCTATAATTGTCAGTCACATATATCTTAGTTGTCCTAACATAATTGAAAGATCTGTATATTTACTATTACTCTTTTAGTTATGGTCTTTTCAATATATTTTTGTTTGGTCATGGTCTTCTTTGAAACAGGAACATACACTATGGAAAGAAAAAATCATTTGAACACTGAACCAACACAGATGCCTGCTTCCTGAAGACAGAGCTGAGGTCAGGTTCTCACACTCAGGCCACTGTCCCTCAGATATGACCATAGACCTCACACTCACACTACTCTTGGGGAGTCAGATGCACCTCCATCTCCTCCCCCTGCTCTGTACCTGTGATCGACCAGCATCAACCCTGAGATATACTGAGGTTAAGGACTAGGGATTTCCTCTTCTTGATGTAATGTCCCATGTCTCTCTGTTGTTTCAAAGATAAAACGAGGATACCTTCCAGAACACATCACCACCTGAGAGGTAGATATATCTCCTCTGTTGGACCTTTTCAATTCTGCCCACCAGAAAACCAGAAATCTCTCAATTCTTTCTTCTCTTTTGTTTAGTGTTCAGTCCTGATTATGGAAATGTGATTTTTCAATTACTGATCATAGAACCCTGACTCATGTAAGAGTTTAAATTTTGCCACTGAAATTGAGTCTCCCTTTCACTTGAAACTGTAAGGCATACAAAAATCATTACCCACACATTCAAATCTACAACATTATGGATAAAATAACCAACATGATTTTCATGAGTCCATGAAATACATAAAATTACAGATTGAATGATCACAAAGAAAGTACAGTAATGGGGCCTTGGTCTAAACCAAAATCTCCTAAAAATAAATGCACCCTGAAGGCTTAAGCAGAGAAAAATAATATGGTTTTAGGGAATCCTAGAAGGTCAGAACTCTCTCAGGGGTAAAGACCAAAGGTTTCCTTGACAACTTGTATTTATTCCAAAGATTCAGGTGTGAGTAAAAAACAGTGAAAGAAGTTTGAATAAAGGCGGTCAATTTTCTGCCTAAGAGAACTCTCTGGTCTCTGTGATTGACAGTGTTGTTACTCAGTAATACTTGGTGTGACATTCAGCCCCCTGGGCAGCTGCAGCATTATCTTTAGAGGCTGTGTCTCTGAGCTTTCCTGGACATCCAGAAAGCACTGTGCTCAGCAATTTAACCCTCACACAGCCTGCTCTCCTACAAGTCAGGACATCCAGAGTCACAGCAGAGCCCTACGTCCTGCTGCACAAGAAGCTGGAGGTACAGAGCACAGAGAACATGTAAGGGGGATGGTGGATGGCTGGAGAACAGCAGTCATCCAGGATGAGGTCACATCATTCTCGTCCAGAGGCCCCTGAAATCTCAAGGGAGAAAAGTAAAAAAAGATCACATAAGGATCTTACAAGCCAAAGGCAGGTCTGGTCACAGAGAAATGGTTACAGGCCCTGGTCCAGACAGAAGAAACTGAGGGGGTCGACATTTTCAGAAACTTATGCTACTTGAAGAAGCCTATTTTAATTATAGAATGACAACCAAACCCTCAAGTATGATGCCAATGAGACACAATAGTTTATAAGAGAAATATGTGAAGGAAATGGGCTGTCTCATACAAAGGAACAGAGGACCAGGAATACATCTCAGTGGCACAGCATCTGCCTGAGTTAGGTACCTGAATTAGGACCTATTCTTGTATCAGGAACAGCACATTATCTCTTTCAGGATGTAGAGACACTGGAGAGCAAGTCAGGAGGAATCTTCCAAAAACTTATATCTGATTATGATGGACTATGACAGTCACTCAGTGCTTCCAGATTTGTAGGTCAAGGTAGAGTCAGAAGCATGACCAAGAGTGTTTCCATGAAGGGACTCTCCAAAAATTAAAATTACA